TACTTAACTTTTTTTTTTTTTTTTTTTTTGAGAGAGAGAGAGAATTGATATGGCTGCCAAGCTGTTACTTTTTTTTTTTTTTTTTTTTTGAGAGAGAGAGAGAGAGAGAGAGAGAGAGAGAGAGAATTTTACTTATTTTTTAGCTTTTCAGCAGACACAACAACTTTGTTTGTATGTGGTGCTGAGGATCGAACTGAGGCCGCATGCCTGTGAGCATGCTACCGCTTGAGCCACATTCCCCAGGCCCAAGCTGTTACTTCTTGGAGTAGGTTTTATATGTTGGATGTAGAAACAGTAACACCAGCATTAACTTACTCAAGTTGCTTACATGATCAGCATCCCAAGGAGCAACTGTCCTGGTGTACATGCAAGAAAGTGGCTTTCTACAGATAAAACTAACTTGCCTTAGTTCTTAGTGTGCCGAAGAGAGGGCTGGTGTCCTTCAAGATAATATGAATCTGGGCTTTCTGACCCAGGCTTGCTCTCCTTATTCCCTTAACTTGGCTAGGTTTTTTGGAAACAGAAAGGGGAGCATTCAAGGACATGGTGTTTTACTGCCTCCACTTTTCTTTAGGGATCATACACTATCTGTCTGCATCTGTGGCTTAAACACAAATTTCCAATTCATAAATTTCCTCCCCCAACTCCCCAGATTATTTGCATTGCCTTAAAAAAATTCAATCAAAGTTCTCAGGTTGCATTTAGTTGTTTGGTTTCTTCCTCTAGAAGGGTCTGGGAGGGGAGAATCTACAGGGATGACTGACCCTAACCCCGCCATCCTGGGAGGGTGTGCCAGGAGCAACCAGCCCTGGTCAGATTTGGAGAAAGCCTGAGAAACTAGGACCCTACTCGGGGAGAGTGTAGATCGGAGGTTCACGAGGACGGAAGCTCCCGCCCAGCGGTGCCGAGGGTCCCGCCCCCTCGCAACCGGCCCGCGTCCCTCCCTAGAGACCCGCCGACTGACCGCAGCGCAGATTCGTGGAGAGGTAGGTCGGTGAGGCCGAGGGATTGCAGGGACAGGGAGACCTAGATAAGGCGCAGAGGGCGAGTGGACATGGAAGAGGCTCTTTYCTGACCAGGATCCCCATTCCTGCCCATGACTTTGGATGCCCGACAGACCCTTGATCAAGGGGACAGAGGTGGGGGCAGAGGGCGCACTTCATTTAACCTTGCTTACCAGAACGGTTTTGGGGATCCCACCTCGGTGCATAGGATGTGGCCCCCTCCTCCTCTGGCTGGTTCCTCATCAGCCACCCAACCTCAGGCGGACCAGAGTTGTTACAGAGATCAATTTCATTTCTTCCTTTACCTACCCCATTCATTAATTCCTTGACTCACACAGCCTTCAGCAAATGCTTTCTGGAACTACTGTGTGCCAAGTCCATGCCAATCCCCTGCTAGGCACCCAGTTCCCAGARAGCAGTGTTACTTGAAAATCCCTGCCCAGTTGCCAGGGGAAACATATATGCATATGTAATTCTGGAAGATGTTTTCTGGGGCAAGGAGATTCAGATAGCCTGGGAACACAGATCCTGATTGCATCAAGCGAAGGAAGTGCTTGACCCAACAAAGGCTGAGGCTTCCATAATTCCTTAGATTCTGTTTATCAAATGAGAGCTCACACAAAACACTGTGGTGTGAAACATAAAGGTACAGGGTCCTTTTTGAATCAGAAGTGGGTGGCTTAGAAGCCCTCCTGCTTAGCTGCTGCTCCCCACAGGAACCTACTTTGCACAATCTCAGGGCTCCTTGGTATGCAGTTTGAGAACCACTGCCATGGAGCTAGGAACATAAGCCTTTGGGGCAACCAAAGGTAAAGCCCTCAGTCTCCATTCTAGATCTGTCAGTTCTTTGAAGTTTCTCCTGGACTTCTCTGGACCTGAACATCTTTGTTTGTAAATTATAGATAATGTCAAATACCTTTGCTCATCTGTGTGCATCAGCTGATTGACAGGTGGTTCAATCACATAGTATTGAATGCTAGTGAATCCAACCTGAAGCCCTGTCTACCTCAAGACAGTGGGATTCCTGGGTCATCTGAGTAAGGAACAAGAAGAATCTGTGCCTCTTCTTGCTGGCTCTGTGACTTTGGGCAGATCACTTAACTCTTTTTTTTTTTTTTTTAGGGCAGTTCTCACTAAGTTGCTGAGGCTGGCCTTAAACTTGTGATCTTCCTGCCTCAGCCTGCTGAGTTGCTGGGATTACAGGCATGAGCCACCATACTGGCTCATTTCCCCATTTCCCTTCATTCTGAGAAATGAGGATATTTCATTTTGAAATACAAATGGGGAGAACGTATCCAGAGTGACAAGCAGCAGAGGCCTTGCTGGGAACCATGTCCCTCTTCCTCCCACCAGCCACACTCATTCCCAGGCAGATGCTGTCACCCTTGAGACTATAACAGGAGGCACAGGTCTGTTTGTCTGTTGCAGCTAGCTCCTGCACACTGACCAAGTCCAGGTGCCCAGARTTGAAATAGGTTAGAAGGAAGCCATTGTGAGGGTGGATTGGGGTGCTGAGTCTGCAGCTCATTCTTCCCCACCCCCATTCCTTCTTGGAACATACCTCAATGCATGCCCTCATTGCCACCCTCACTCAGTGGGAAACTGCAATTTGAGGGTGGCAAATCCACCCATCATGGACTCCTTTTGTCCCAGGTAACGCTGCAGTTTCCTGGACATTTGTGCTCCCGTTATCTCTAGGCACCAGCAAAGCAAGCCAAGCTGGCAAAACCAGAAATGGAATGTTTCCTATGGAACCGGACTCTGGCCTCTCCTAGCTCTGCTCTGTCCGTTCAATTATTTTGTTCAAAGATGAAACAGACACCTGTGGATTTATAACACAATTGAGCTGAGCCTCAGGGGAGTCCTCTGCCCTTTAGGGTGTTCTGGATAGGGATGGTGACTCTCAGAAAGGTGGGCCAGAATCAGCATTGTCTTTAGCACATGCCCTGGGAGATAGCTGGCCGCCAGAAAGTGGGTTCATGGAGCAGAGTTCCAGTGGGGAAGACCTGGCAAAGCTGACCGGCTAGAGGCTGATGGGCCTTCTGGCTGGGTGCCTGGAATTCTCTGCCTGAGCCCTATCTGCCGTTCTCCATCCTTCAAGTGGTCTGCCAACTCACCATCCTCTTCTTGGAAATGGGCTCAGCTGATGCAGGCTGCTTTGGTACTACTAGCTAGCTTTGTTCCACACAGGCCTAGCCACCCTCCATTCCTCAGGCCAGTGTAGGTAAGAACCTCTGCCACAGCACATCCCTCTGGGTAGCTAAGTCAGAGAATGGCAGAGCACAAAGCACCCAGCCAAAAAAGTGGCTTTGCCAGGAATGGTGGAGCACACCTGTAATCTTAGCTACTCAGAAGGCTGAGGCAGGAGGATTGCAAGTTTGTTTAAGGCCAGCCTCATCAACTCAGCAAGTCCCAAAATAAAAAATAAAAAGGGATGGGGATGGGGATGGGCCTGGGGTTGTGGCTCAGAGGAAGAGCGCTTGCCTAGCAAGCATGGGACACTGGGTTCAATCCTCAGCACCACATAAAAATAAAATAAAGGTATTGTGTCCATCTATAACTAGTAAATAAATATGAAAAAGAGGGGCTGGGGATATAGCTTAGTGGTAGAACATCCTTGAGTTCAATCCTTAGTACCACATACACACACAAAAAAAAAAAAGAAAGAAAGAAAAGAAAAAAGAAAAAAAAGAAAAGGAAAAGAAAAGAAAGAAAGAAAAAGAAAAAAGAATAATCTGTTCTGCAAGCTCCTCACTGTCCTATCCCAGTATACAGAGGGGTAGGAAAATGTGATGGGGTCCAGGAAGGAGGGCTTGCTGGTTCAGGCCCCTATTTCCTTTTGTTAAGATGTTTTTGTTTTCTTTTGTTAATTGACATTTTTATTGAAATAATCGAAGACTTCCTTTTTGTGTTTGTTTGTTTGTTTCTACACCAGCCTTAGGTGAAAATCTCTTCCCTATACCCTTACCCCATTTCTTGTAATGTTCTTGTGCCCAAGGATTTCCCCTGGTGACGTAGACTGAGAGCCAAAAGCAACAGCGGCTTGGCAAGGGCTTGCTAATAAAGCCCCACAAACCCTTGTCCACGAGGTGGTGGATGTGCGTGCAAGTTGGAGACATCTGTTTCTCCCTCCACGAAGACAGAAGGGTATATATTCCCTGAGCTGGGCTGACCCCCAGAGCTTGGRTGAGTGAATGCTGTTTTGTTGCTGATACAGGGATCTGTGGGCCAACGGTCAGCATCAGGATCCTGCTGGGGACGCCATTTAGTCCTTTGRCTCCTGGGGGATGCTGGGAGGTAGGGTGAGCCTGGATGGGATGGACTGCAGAGTTTGGCCTGGGTCTTTCAAATGCTTGTGAGACCTTGTGCCCATCTGGGGAGAGGCAGGCTGGTTCCACAGGGTTGTTGGATGGGGGGCCTGGGGCTACTTATGGCTGAAAGTCATTTGGGAAAATTCACTGAGTAAGCAAGTCTTGGCACTTCCCACCCCGCCCATCTCCCCCTGTTGAGAAGTGAAGCCTTCTCAAAAATGAAGGAGACATGGGCAGATGCAGAGGCACAGGCACCTGCAGATCTTCCCCTAGCTCAGCCCTTAATTCTGGGGGGTGCTCATTTCTCACATGCAGTATCCAGGATGGGCCCAGGGTCTCCTGGTGAGACTCTCCTGGCGTTGTGTTTCTGTCCAAATTAGGAGGAGACCATTCTTTTTCTCCTCCCTCTTCTGTTGTCTGTGAATCCAGGGCTGGGGCTTCGTGAGAGGAGACGCATGGTGTATCATGGTGCCTCTGGGGGCTGAGACAGAGGCTGCCAAGGACTGAGTGACACTGTATCTTCTCCTAGGAGCTCTGACTGGGCATCTCCCTGAGAAGCACCATGGAGCATCGGAACAGAGAAGCACCCAATCCAGGAAGGGCCCCTCAGGAACCCGGACCCAGCAGTATTCCTACGAACCAAGAGTGCCACCTGGGGGGACCTCTTGGAGGCCTAGAGTGTAACATGGAGAGGGCTCTTCAGGGACCAAGTTATGATGTGAGGATTCCTCCTCCAGGCCCTGAGCCCGAGCCCCCACCTGTAGTGGTGCCCCTGGTCCCACCCCTGCCCTCAGACTTGGGGCTGCCCGGGAAGTTACCACTGACTGGAACTGACAAGAAGTACCCAGTGATGAAGCAGCGTGGGTTCTACTCCGAAATCCTCAGCCCTGGAAGCTTGGATCAACTTGGGGTAAATATAGCAGCTATCTTCTACGATGCCTGAGCTTTCCCTATAGCCTCCATTCCCTCATTCTTCTTCTCTTCATCAATTCATCTGTTCGTTTAGCCACCTGTCAACCCCAAAATCCATCCACCCATCCCCAGCCAGTCAGCCAGCCATCTTTTTTTGGCCATCCATCTAGCTGTCCATTCATCCATCCATTCATCTGTCTATTCATTCACAACTCATTACTGAGCTCCCGCTGTGTCCAGGCCCTGGAAGGAGCTACAGCATTGGTGGGGCAGTTGCCTTCCCCCTAACCCTGGTTAGAAAAGCATCCGTGGATGAGATGGCATGCTGCTGACATCTAAGAGATGGGTGTTTTAGAACAATTGTAGAGGAGGAAAATTTTATTTAAGGGTTCACGTCCATAAATAGCCAACTCCATCATGGCGGAAGAGTATGACAGAGGAAAGCAGCTCACATGATGATCAGGAAGCAAAGAGAGAGACTCCACTCTCCAGATAAATATATACCACAAAGCCATATTACCAATGTCCACCTCCTCCAGCTGCAGCATATATGCCTTCAGCCACCACCCAATTAATCCCATCAGGGGATTAACTCACAGATTGGGTTAAGGCTCTTGTAACACAATCATTTCTTCTCTGAACCTTCTTGCATTGTCTCACATGTGAACTTTTGGGGGACACCTCACATCAACCACAACAATGGGCATGCATTTTTTAGGTACTTGGGGTGTTCCAGGTACAGGAAACAGCAGGTACAAAGTTCTGGGGTCCCTGAGAGAGGGCATGGCCCATATGAAGTAGAAGGGAAGAAAGAGGTCAGGGATGAGGCTACAACCAGGGGAAGATGGGAAGGGGATGACTAGGACAGAAACACAGAGCCCTGTGTATCCCAGGAAGCCTTAGGAAAATTTGAGACAGAGGAGAGGCCAAGAAAGATAGGGCAAGAACCCACTGATACCCAGTCCACCAGTGGTGCCAGAGTGATCCTTGGGAGAGGAGATGCACACAGAGACACTGGCTGGCCTTACAGTACCTGTCTCATGGCTCAGCCCCTTGATGCATGCTGGGAGTTCTCAGTAATGAGAGAAGCTGTGTTGGACTAGAACAGAGTCGGCCCCGGATGTCCTAGCTTGTCACCCACTGTGACTTTTTTTTTTTTTAAGTTGTATATGGACACAACACCTTTATTTTACTTATTTATTTTTATGTAGTGCTAAGGATCAAACCCAGTGCCTCACACGTGCTAGGCAAGCGCTCTACCACTGAGCCACAACCCCAGCACCCCCCACTTTTGAACAAAGTTTATGAACTCATCAGTTCTGCCTTACCTCTGTGCTCCTGGAGTGCTCCCTGGTGGTCCTCAGGGAAAGCCCTGGCCTTGGAATCCTTCCCATGTCCCTGGGATGTGTAAGAACACTCAGGCCTCTGGGGTTTGGTTTCAGAACGTGTGCCGTGGGCCCTGCGTGAACCAGAACTTCCTACGTCAAGCCGACCTCAGCGAGTTCACCCCAAAAGGTCAGTGCCCAGGGGAACGGGGTGGGTGGGTCCTGGTGTGTATTTAAAGGCAGGGTTTCTGGCCTCAGAAGGTAAAATGAGACCAGTAAGAGATAAAGTGTTTTGCGAGGGCCAGACTTACAGAGAGTGCTTCATCCTTATCCTCCCCAGAACTGCCGTAAGGGCCTGGAGCTGCTAAGGGCAGGGCTGTAATTCTGTCTGCCTGGCTAGGGTCAATAGGGCATCTACCTCAGCTGGAACATGGGCTCAGAGGAAGCCAGGAGTATGTCTGAGTTGTGCTCTGCTGGAGCCCCAGCATCTGGAAGAGCACATGGCACAGTTAGATACCCAGGAGATCTTTGCTGGCSAAAGGAAGGAGGAACATCCTCTCAGTCTCCAGGACAAGTCTCGGAACACAACTGGGAGTAAGGACGAGGACAGGTCTGCAGTGTGTAGTGCTGCAACCAGCAGGGCTGTTAATTCAGAAACCAGCAAGGGGTGATGGGGGATTAGAAAAGAAAAACAGACACACACACAGAGAAAGCTGAGCCCAGGTAGGACATTACAGATGCAGAATAATGACCCACTGCTAGCCTAGCACATTTATTATATAGGTTTTTATCATCAAAAGGGTTTTTTGGTGAGAAAGTTTCTTCAAAGCATGCAGGATTGAAGGTCAAAGACTAGTGACCAATTATAATGATCAGTTTGCACTCATAAATTCTCTATCCCTGGCAGCTGGTGTCTAGATTCAGGGTCAAGACTGATAGTCCTGTGCCTAGCACAGAACCCCCTTTAAGCAGGGCATCACCATGGCAACTGGGCAGTCTTGACCTTTGCACAGGAAGTTCCCAGGTGCAGTTCCTGCTGTAGGACAGAGAACATGATTCAAATCACAGCTCCTAACATTGTGAGGCAGACCTGTGGCAGAGAGAATAAGGTGGCTCCAGGATAGGCACCAGGTGGTGGTGAGGGAGTGGGGCAGGGGACCCTCCCATCTGGGTGTTTTGCTTTCCTTCTCCATCAGACAGGATCCCACTTGCACCAGGCTCAGAGTCCCTATGGTCCCAGCTGTCTRCCTTCATGTCCACCCAGGAAAGGCCTGGCTCCTTATTGGCACTGCCTACATTAGTGCCATCAGAGCCCATGAGCCATGGGGTCTGTGAACTCCTAAACTGGTGCCCAGAAAATGGCWTCAATACGGACATTTGTGTACTTACCTGAGGATCTGGTTTGATGTTCTCAACAGTCCCACAAGCAACTGTGACCTGGAAAACGGCYACAAACCACAGATCTCAGGCCTTCAGGGCATTGGAATGGTGCTCCCACCATCTGTGGCAGGGRTCAGCAGCTCAGCAGTCCCACCCACATGAGGAAAAGCAGCTCCAACAGTGTGGAGCCAGTTGGCTCTTGGAAGCCAGTGACAGAAGTCCCCCTTGCTGCCTGAGAACTAAAGAGAAGGCTTGAGCAGCCTGTCAGGGGCTCGGGGATGAAGCAGAGGCTAGAGGCCACCTCTTCACCCTGGCTCCTTCTTGGTTCCTTCCCAGAGTGGGTTCCAGGAGCAGAATGGTGTTRTGAATCCATAGGCACTAGAGCAGGAGATTAGGAGTTTGAAACTGCCCCCCCTTTTTYCCCTGGTACCAGGGATTGAACCCAGGGGTGCTTAACCACTGAGCCACATCCCCAGCTCTTATTTATATTTTATGTAGAGGCAGGGTCTCGCTAAGTTTCCTAGGGCCTTGCTAAGTTGCTGAGGCTGGCTTTGAACTTRTGATCTGCCTGTCTCAGCCTCTGAACCACTGGGATTATAGGCGTGCACCACCACAAGCAGCTGAAAATTGCCCTTGTGTCTGAGCTGTTTGGTGCTGGCAGCTCTGCTAAGAGAATGGACTTCAGCTGAAGGCAGGAGGCCTCTGCCAAACCTCAGACAACATCCCARGCCCAGAATCTGGAAGCTTCTGTGAGGCTCCAGAAGTTTCCCCAAGATGTCTGTGTAACGTGACCACCTCTTGACCCCAAAGAAGTCATGAGTCTCAAGAAGGGGGTCACTAGGGCTTCCCAGGACCCTTGGGACTCCTTGGAACCTTCCTCTGCCAGGAGAGTACATGGGGGGCACCTATACCCCCTAGCCCCACCTATAGTGGTCTCCATTCCCCTGGGACTTTCCTCTCCACTGAGCACCCTATGTTCCAAGAAACCCTCAGTCTGGGCAACCTGGGATGGTGGGTAATCCTATCTATGATCTCACTCCACCAACTCCCTTCCCCCCATACCTAGAATAGAAGGCTCAGTCTGCCATTGTCCAAGTAGGGGCAGCCATTTGGTGGCTTGAGGGTCCCACAGGGACCATCCACCCCTACTCAGGGTGCCTCCAGTCTGGAAAGGGCCCCAGGCAGTGAATGGCATTCAAACTCTCATATGCCCACTTTACCTTCCTGTCCAGTGGTCACCCTCAYCAGTACTTGAATTCAGCACCTGGCTTGAGCAATGGCTCCGGTGCTGGGGTCCTAGGTGTTTCATAAGGGAACCGCCCAGCATGCTGGCCCTGGACATGGATGGTAGGACTAAAACAGACGTTCCGGAGGCCCTGTTTCCTTCTGGTCTGACAGAGTGTGCCCACATGGTTCCTGCCTGGCGATTTGTCTTATTGGATGATCGGGGGAACTGGTGTCAAGGGGCCCCAGCCTGATTCCCACAGTGCCTGCCTCTGCCTCTGCCTGCAGTCGAAACTTTCAAGGTTCCTGATGACTTTGAGGAGTGCATAGAGCAGCAGAGCATCGGGTCCACGACCAAGCTGCTCACCCAGACTGACTTCCCGCCGCAAGCCTATGAGCCCAAGGTGCAGGTGCCCTTCCAGGTGCTGCCCGGCCAGTGCCCCCGAAAGATTGAGATTGAGAGGTACGACTGGGTGGACTGTAGAGAGGACCTGTCCTCTGGGAGGTGGTATCTGCCTAATGAAAAGTTGAGGATCTAAAGACCACTAGGTGACCATCTCCATGGCAGATTCTATGAAAAAATATTTAAACTTTCTAGTTCTCTGGTTCTTTCATAAGAACAAATGGATTTTCCTTGCTGTGGAATCGGAGAGGGTGGCATTTAGGTCAATGAAGTGGGACTGCCATGGCAGGATACAGGTGTAATTGGAGCCCAGGGACTCAAAGGGGTCCACACCACTATCATCACAAACCCTGGGCCTTCTCACAGTAGCCAGAATGTCACAGGAAAGCAGGGAGCTAAAACTCCAAACCTTGGTTCTAGTGTTCCAATGAAAGAAAATTTAAAGTCAGACACCAGATGTCATGCAAGAGAACTTTATTATAAGTGAAAGTAAGGTGAAAATAAAGTAAAAGCAAAGTGAGGCTCAAGCAGAGAGCACGAGAGTGACAGAGAGAGAGAGAGAGAGAGAGAGAGAGAGAGAGAGAGAGAGAGAGAGAGATCTCCGAGCAGAGAACAACAAAAGGAGACAATGCTATCCCCAAATTTATTAGTTTTATGGTTGGCTTGAAAACTGAGGTCCTCCTTCAACAACCTTCACCAATCAGGTGTTCAACTCCTCCTTCTCTCCAGGTGATGGAGTTTTTGACCTTAGTTGGTCCTCTCCAGAACTGTCATGGTGGCCATCCTATTTAGGGGGGCTTCACCTATAAGTCAATCCCATGTTAATATGGGCACTGGGGTCAGTAGCTGGTCAGAAGTTATCATAGTGTGCCTGCGCTACTAAAGGAATCCTCCTTCYCAGACAACTGGAGACACTTATAGCCATAATTCCCAACTTCACATCAACCTCAGTGGACCCTGTCAAGAGTTAGTCCCTTTCATCCTTTTCTCTTGACGTGTTTTACAAATAGCCCTTTATTTTGTTTTCTACAGATGAACTGCCACTATTGATTTCGTAAGATAGTTTAAAGAAGGACCCTAAAGTAATTTAAGGAACACTTTGTGACCTTACCATGCATTTCACTGCTCATTGCTAGCTAATACCTAACAAGAGCCCCGGGACTCACTAGCGGAGCCCCTACACGAACCCAGCCGTCCTGAGAACCCTACCTGCCCTTCCAGGAGAAAGCGGCAGTACCTGAGCCTGGACATCGAGCAATTGCTGGCTAATGAGGGCATCGACTCCAACGAGCTCATGCCAAGGCACCCAGATCCCCAAAACCCCCAAACCATTGAACAGGGCCATGACCCACTCTTCCCCATCTATCTCCCACTGAAGGTAAGCCAGGCCTCTGTGGATTGCCAATGGAGATGGGATGGGAGTGTGGGACCCCGGCTGAAATTCAGGAGTCAGACCCCAAAGGAGAGCCCCACTCCAACCATAAATACTTACATGTCAATCATAGCAACTGAATAATCATAACCCACCCCAGGTGCCTTAGTCATCCTAGGTTGGAGTAGGAAGGGCTCCCGTGATCCCTGGGAGGCAGATTCTCTGCTTCTTCTCCGGGAGCCTGGGCAGCCTGTGTGTCCCCCCACCCCCATGGGTACCTAGATGCAGCCAGGTTGGACTGTGGAGACCAGGGATGGAGGAGGGTGTCAGTGCTGCCTCTTGAGATACAAGTGGGAAAACAGAGTCAGAGGAGGAGAAAGAGGTTGCACAGCCTGGCCCTGGCTTTGGCTCCTTCCGCTTCCTCTCTGTGTCCTGAGTGTCTCTGGGGACTCTGGATCTAGATGCACATGATCCTTCCAGTGATGGACGACCGCCTTCCCGTGAAACCCAAGAGCTCTCTGTTCTCTTGGGCCTGAGCTGGATGTTCCAGGGCAGCAGGGGAGAGCGTCTACATCTTGCCCTGAATCCCCAAGCCCTCTGCCTGAGCCTTAGGTGGCTTTTCTGGACAAGGATCCAGGGTTTCCCTCTCCTTCAGACCCTGTGTGCCCCTGGGAGAAGTWGAGTAAGGGCTCTGCCCTCCYGGTCACCTGCAGCTCCTTCATCTAGGGAGCAGGCTACTTACTGAGGCAGCCCTGTCCATGCTCAGTTCGCCCCGGCCTCTAGGGGAGCCACTTCCTCCGGACCTTTGCCTGCTTTCTCCCAGGTGTTCGACAATGAGGAATTTGACTGTCGMACTCCCCAAGAGTGGATCAATATGGGCTTGGAGCCAGGGTCAAACACCAGGAAACCAGTTCCTGGAAAAGCCCTCCTGCCCACTGACGATTTCCTGGGACACGGTAAGCAGGGCCAGCCCGGGGTGGGGTACCATCTTGTCCCAGCAGCAGTCCTGTCAAGAACTCCTGGGCTCCCCCGGCAGCCATGGGTGCTAAGGGGTCATCTGAGGCTGAGATACAGGCCAAGGAGCTGGCCACACCAAGGCAAGCAATGCAGGGATCAGGGTGGACATGGTCAGGAGGACTGGGAACAGGACAGTTTGGATGTGTCTAGTGCTAAACAAAAGACATTTTGATATGATGGTAATAAAAATATACATGCTCATTGGAAATGTTAAAGGTAAATGCATAAGGCCCCCGGCTAGACCCTTCCATCCCACTATCCAGAAATCACCATCATTCCGCTCGTTACAATGGCCTCTCAACTTTGACCTCTGTAAAAGCCTTCTCACAGTAGCCAGAGTGTCACAGGAAAGCAGGGAGCTGAAACTCTGAGCTGTTGCACTCTTTCACCACCACATCTACGATCACACTTGGACATATTCCACACCCTCATACACACACACTATGACACTCATATATACACTTTTACCAGTCACCAGTCACCCATTTATAACCACTATCACTCCTACTCACTGGATGCGACACAGATTTGCGGTGCCTCGGCCTCACCTGTGTCTGCCCACAGAGTGCCTCTGGCTCCTCCTTTGGCCTCAGTSTGTCCTGGTGGCCGTGGAGGCTCTTCCTAGTTGCCTGCTGTCAGGAACAGGGTGAGTTGCTATGGCCGCCATCTAGGCCTGCAAGGCTGGGTCTCTGGGCAGGCTTCCTAGCAAGTCTGGTGTCCTAAATTTGGAGGTTGGAAGTGACCATTTCTCCATGCAGGGCAGAAGGTGGCTCTGCACCCTGCCTCTTGTAGGGAAATGATTCCATGGAGTGGGAAGTGGGCTCAGGCAGGCAGGCTTTAGGTAGGGGGCAGGACTAAGAACGTTAATTGTTTTTTTAAGACTGCACAGTCTCCAGGAGGCCTGCGGCGAGTCCACTGAGCAGGCTGCAAATTTGTTTCATTCAAAAACACTTCAATGCTGGAATCAATTTCTCTGAACCAGATAAGAGGCCCGGAGTATTCCCTTCACTTTGAACTTAATTACAAAAATATTTGAACTCAGTGGTTCCCAGATCTCCAATTCCCGGTGATAAAACCAAGGCTGCATTAACCTCAAGGGCATGGAGTGCCAGCCTCCCCTCTTCTCAATGTAGCCAGAGCACAGGGGCAAGGAGGGGCTAGCAGGGAACGGAACAGTTTCCTGTCAGAGCCTTCTCATTTTCCTCTGGGGGCTGCTTGTGACACTTTTCCTTTTAGTTGAGCCAAAACAAGGTCAGCATTTTCAAAAAGAAAATTTACTAGGAAGGGAGGGGAAAAGCAAAACCAAAGCAAAGCCAAGGTGGTATACAACAGCGGCCTCCCGCACCCCTCTGGCATCAACAGGTGAGAACCACTTTCCTTGGAATTCCAGCCCCTTCTTCCTCAACAGTAGTCTGTAGAATGCATCAGTTTGTTTTATGCCACTGTATGATAAAGCATCCTCTACTAAGTAGCAAGTGTGTGTGCATCTTCCTTCTTTAACAGTTTATTGAGCACCTACTTTGCACCGGTTTCCATTCTAGATCCGGATCCACTTCTGCCCTGAGGGAGCTGACACTAGAGTGAGGAGGCTGACCACCAACCAGGAGATGAGACATAAGTAGTGAATCTAGGCATTGTCAGAGACACAAAAAGGGCAACAGTTTAGACAGTGCCTGGGGCAGAGGTGTTATTTTAGGCAGAGATGCCTCTCCAAGGAGAAGCCAATGGGAACAAACCAGTAATGAGGCCACCAGGCAGATGACACAGCCAATGCAAAGACCCTGAAGAAAGAACAAGCTGTAAAATCACAGGGACAGGCAGACATCAAGTGTAGCTAGAGCAAAGCTGGGGGTAGGCAGTGGCAGGAGGTGAGCTGGAGAAGAGGGCAAAGGAGCTTAGTCTGAGGAGTAGGTAGGAGGCCCCTCCTGACTAAACTGGCCCCAGGGACCACTTAAGAGCCCATTGCAGGGCAGTGGTCTCATCCTGTGGCTCAATAGCGAGGGCAGCCTCCGGGGAGGGCTTCACACTGGCCTTGGTCACTTTGAAGAGGTCCAGCTCATTTACGATGGCCATCCACAACAGGCCCTCCACAAGTTTCTTGTGTGCTTGAGGCTTTCCTGCCTCGTGGCCAGGGCCTTCGTCCTGTGTCTGTCTCTGCCCCGGTRGGGGTCATGCAGAGAGGCCTCATCCTTTTGGATCCTCCTGTGGCCCAGGGGTTCCAAAGAGGCCAACTCAGATGGAAGGAAGAGGAATCCTAACTCTGTGGGAGCTAGACAGGATGTTCTGGTGGGAGAGAGGCCAGTCTAGTGACCTCTGAGATCCATTCCCAGCACCTGTTGCCACACTCAAGAGGTCTTACCTTGCCCGCATGGCAGGAATCACTGGTGGGGTGTCCCTTCCTGTTTCAGAGGACCCCAAGAGTCTGGAACTGGTCTACAAATGGTGTGAGGTTGGTGTTCTGGACTATGACGAGGAGACGAAGCTGTACCTGGTGCACAAGACGGATCAGAGAGGCCTCGTGCGGGACGAGATGGGGAAACCCATAGTGAATGGAGGGGTCACTTCCAGAGGTATGAGCTCAGCCTCCGCCCCAGGCTGGCCCCAGGCTGACCCCCAGCTCAGGCCAAGCCCACACTGTGACTGAGGCCAATCCTTCCAAGGGCACCATCAGCTCAGATCTGAATTCTGCCTTGCTCGATTTGATCTATGGCTGTCTGGACCCTGATCAGTAAGAACCAGCAGGCCCATGTCTCAGAGACCCCAGGAAGGCAAATGGCCATTATTTGGTATGTCAACTCTGAGCAGTTGGCAATGCTTCATGTAGCACAATGTTGAAAGCCTGAGGCCATCAAATGAGTGATATTGGCCCTGGGTGTGGTGTTCAGCCCCAAATGGCCACCCTTGTACAACTCCTTGTCTGAGCATAGATCTTTTTTCGGGAGGATGGGTACCAGGGATTGAACTCAGGGGCACTCAACCACTGAGCCCCTTCTCCAGACCTATTTTGTATTTCATTCAGAGACAGGGTCTCACTGAGTTGCTTAGCACCTCCCCATTGCTGAGGCTGGCTTTGAACTCACGATCCTCCTGCCTCAGCCTCCCAAGCCATTGGGATTATGAGCAAGATCTTTGTAGTCTTCAAAGCACTTTCACGTTCATCCATGACACCATGTAGGGTAGGCAGGGCAGGGAGTGTTATCATACTCATTTTGCATGTTCAACAGGAGATCAGAGAAGGGAAACGCTGTACTCAGGGCCACGGCACATCAGTGACACAGCTGTCTAGAACCCTGTGCCTGACCCAGAGAGCCTGACTATATGCCCCCTTCTCCCTCCTACCTAACCCCTCAGGCAGGCCACCCCTTCTGATCTGTCAATACTGGGTGCCACGGATCCAGCTTCTCTTCTGTGCTGAGGACCCTCACGTGTTCACGCAGCGTGTGGTCCAGGCCAATGCCCTGCGCAAGAACACAGAGGCGCTGCTGCTATACAACCTGTATGTGGACTGCATGCCCACCGAGGGCGAGCGGCTCATCAATGAGCAGAGCCTGAATAAGATCAAGCAGTGGGCCWTGAGCACACCCCGGATGCGCAAAGGTTCCGTGTGAGTCCCTGCGCTGCCACCTCCTGGGGTCTTTCCATGGGGAAGTAGCACTACCGGGCAGGTAGAGCTCCCTCGGGGTTCATCTGTGTGGGGCTGTCTTGCCCACTGTACTGTGGACTTGTTGGGCCCCCAGATGTTCATCTCCACATYCCTCATTATCAGGGTGAACTCACGGAGCCAGGCATGGTGGTGAACGCCTATAATCCCAGTGGCTCAGGCAGGAGGATAGCAATTTAGTGGGGCCCTAAGCAATTGAGTGAGATTCTGCCTCAAAATAAAAATTTAAAAAGGGCTGGGGATGCGGCTCCGTGGTTAAGCCCTCTTGGGTTCAATCCCTGGTACCCACCCACCCACCAAAAAGGAAGAGTCATGGATTCTTACTTTAGTGAAAAGGGTATGAAGCATTACTATCATTTTTTAAAAAATTTCAGTGCTCAAAGTTGGCCAGGGGGAGCTTCTTCAAGTTACTTCCTCTGTGTTTTTGACATGTTTCTATCATAATGTGTGCATGTCTTTACCTTCTGGTACATTGAGAAGTTCCAGGCTTATCTTGTTCTTTCCCAGATCCARCCCTCAAATCAAATTTTTCTCCAAGGAGCTCTGTCTGATTACTTTTAGTGGGGAATTTAGAGGCCAAGATTTGGGCATGAGATGTATTTGTTCCTTCTGGGAAATCATTGCTTCAAGGTTCTCAGAGCAGACAGATTTGGGAAATAATAGAGATATAAAATATTACTGCATTATGTTATATATAACCTCCACACATTCCTTTTTCTGTATGTGCTGATCTATCTGTTAAATACCTACGAGTTCCTGCTGACACCTTCAAACCGACTCCAACACCACAGGGCTCATTCTCGCTTTTATGTACTTGTTAATTCCATCCTCTAGAAYAAAACTGGCTCCCATTACTCAAGGTACATTGACCTATTTGTTTAGTCCTAGAATACACAGAAGGTAGTGTCAAATCGCTAATCCGTACCTTTTAGTAGACTTTTTGGTGTCTTTATTTAGCATCCTTTTTCTCTTTAGTCTGGGGCTTATAGTCCAAATACTACATTTGGAAGTTACTTGATTTCTTTCTTCCTAYATCTTTCAATGAGATGCCCACTTTATTTTTTGAACTGCATCTTGGTTCATTTATTACATATACACCTACATATAAACATGATAAATATATAATATGTGTTAAATATGTATACATATTTTATATGTACATTATATATATATACACTACTCTGTAATATTCTCTTTCTGTATATGTATACTACTCACAATATTTATTACTCAAAAAGACTTACTCAGTGATGGTGCATCCCTGTAATACCAGTGGCTCAGGAGGCTGAGGCAGGAGGATCTCAAGTTCAAAGCCAGCCTCAACAACTTAGCGAGACCCAGAGCAACTCAGCAAGACACTGTCTCAAAATAAAATATAAAAAAGGGCTGGGGATGTGGCTCAGTGGTTAAGTACCCCCAATTCCCATTACCAAAAAAAAAAAAAAGACTTATTCAGAGATCTGTCATTCTCCCATCATGCCTGTAGGTATACAGTATCACTAATTTCTGGTTTATCTTATTACATAAATAAAGTATCCTAGGTATATATGCATGTAACACACTTTAGAAAGCTTTTGCATTTTGCTTTTTTCACTTTTTTCACAGTATACCTGAAATCAATCCATACCAGTTCATTGAGATTTTTCTGAGTCCCTTTTTACAACTGCATAGTAATCCATTGTGGGGATGTACCATAATATATTCAGCCATTCTCCACAATATGGACACTTAGGTTATCTTGTATTATCTTGTAATTCCAAAATACTTGTACATTTTTATTTCAAAATGATGGATGTATAGCTTTGGGGTACATTTTTAGAAGTAGAATTGCTAGATAAGTGTATATATATATATCAGTTTTGTTCATTGATTGATTAGTGCCAAGGATTGAACCCAGGGATGCTTAGCCACTGAGCCATATTTTATTTTTTATTTTGCTAAGTTGCTTAGGGCCTTGCTATGTTGCTGAGGCTGCTTTGAACTTAAGATCTTCCTGCCTCAGCCTCCAGAGCTGTTGGGATTACAAGTGTGCACCACTGCACCCAGCCATATTAGGTATTGCCAAATTTTCCTTGTACCATTTTGAACTCCCACCAGCAATGTATGAGCATGCCTGCTTCTCTAAAGCTTTTCCCAGAGTATATTTAATACTATTTAATTTTTGACCACTCTGGAAGGTAAGGAAGAAATGGTATCTCAGTGTGGCTTTCATTTTGTCTTATTATAAGTGAGGCTGAATATCTTCTCCATCTTTTCATAGTATTAAAGATAATCTTTTTGTGACTTACCTATTTATCTTTTGCTTGTTCTTTTTGTTGTTGTTTTGTTTTGTTTTTTTGTTTTGTTTTGTTTCTCAGTTTAGGATTTTTCTTTCCAGTTTTAAGAGTTGTTTGTATATTAGGGATATTGGCTCTTTATCTGTGATATATGTCATCAACATCTCCTGGTATTTCAGTTGTATTTTGACTTTTCTATGGTGATTTTGCCATATAATAAAATAGTAAAGCAATTTTATTAATCTTATCTTTAACTACATCTGAAATTGAGTCAAGTCAGAAAGTGAGGTTTTCTTCTCGTACGTGTATGGTATTGCATAGATTTTCTTGATTCATCCTTATATGTAGTGTGGATCTAAGTTTTTATTTTTCCAAATGATTGACCAGTTGTCCCAACAGCATTTTTTAAAATTTATTTAGTTATTTATTTTTGAGTACCAGGTATTGAACCCAGAGGCACTGGATGATTACTGAGCCACATCCCCAGTCCTTTTAATTGTTTTTATTTTGAGACAGGGTCTCACCAAGCTGCTCAGGCCCTTACTAAGTTGCTGAGGATGGTTTTGAACTCAAGACCCTCCTACCTCAGCCTCCCAAGCCACTGGGATCATAGGCAGGCGCTGCCACACCCGGCTTCATTCCTTTAATTCTTTGTATGTGTGTTCAACGTCTGTGTTCTGGGCATCCTGGAAATGCCAGGCCTTCTGCACAGCACAGCAGAAATGACCATGAGCTGGACCCTAGCCTCCCTGCACTGACCCTCCCCACCTGGTGCTCACTGGCCCAGAGGGGCTCAGCCACTGAACATAGTGTGAGGAGTATTCGGATGGTGGGGGATGGGGAGCACTTTGGGATCATACCTAGGGCCTGCCCTCTTCCTCAGGAAATGAGATTGGCCCAGGACAGAAATCCCAGGCTAGTCAGGCTTAAGTAGGGGCTGAGTGGACAAGAGTGTGACCACCAGCTGGAACAGTATATGCAAAGGCTCTGAGGTGCGCAAGGGCCTGGAGTCTCCACAGACTCGGAGGGGCTTCCTGTGGTGGGATCGGGATGAGATTGGGGAGCCTGGTCCACAAGGAGAGTAGAAAGGGGCCAACGGAAGGTCCTCTTAGATCATCATAAAGAGATTGGTCTGTACCTTAGGAGCTAAGAAAAGCATAGATGGGTTTTAAGCAGAAAGGTGTGATCAGATTTGAGTTTTTCAGGGAGTTGTTTGGAGCGGGTGGAGGTGGGAACAGGGGACCTGGCCCTGGGACAACATCGAGAAGCTGGAAGCCAAATGCACAGACTCAGGGACTGATACGAGGGGGGTTATAAAAGCAGCAGGGAACAAGGGGCAAGGAGGTTATTGGCTCAGGGACAGGTGGCAGTCTGCCCATGTATCCAGAGAGGAAGCTTCAAGCTGATGTCCCCGGTCTATGCCAGAACAGAGCCTGCACTGCAGCTGGCCCACAGCGCGGGGTCGACTGGACGTGTGGAGGCCCTGATAACCCTCAACTCCCTCACTGTGGACAGGGTCCTCGAGCACCTCAGCAATCTCGCCCGAGAAGTGAGCCTGGACTATGAACGCAGCATGAACAAGATCAACTTTGACCAAATTGTCTCCTCCAAGCCTGACACGTTCTCCTATGTGACCCTGCCTGAGAAGGAGGAGGAGACGGTGCCAGAGCAAGGTGAGGGTTGTCAGACCCCGAGGCCATTCAGCTGGTCAGTGCCCCCTTCCATCTCTCCCTCTAGGATCACTTGTCCTGCTGCTGTGGGCCCCATGAGCCWGACCCTCCCTTGCACCACCTGGTCCCCAGGATTCATACCCTTGTGTTGGCTGTCTGAAGAGCTCTGGTCAGGGGAGAGGGAGGAGGACTCTTTAAAAAAAAAAATATCTGAGTAATGCAGAAGCCACAGGGTAAATGTGAACCAGGAAAGCCATCGTTCAGAAGTCGATGTCCGGGGTTCTGATGGTCAGGCCTYGAGGTCACCAAGCCCTTTCTTCCTCCAGTAGCAAGGGTAAGCCTGGCATCACTGCAGCCCCATGAATGCATGGCAGACTGAGTCTCAGAGAAAGATGTCAGGTCCCCTAAGAAATCTCTGCTCTGAGTTCTCTGATCCCTGCTACCTCCATCTCTTGGACCTGGCTTTCCTATACCCTGGACCCAGGAYGCAGGCTGGGGTATGGATAGCAGGGTAGGCTCTGAGGGGCCCTGGTGCCCACATCATCCTTCCTTGGGGTTCTAGGGCAGGCTCCAGGCAGGCCTCAGGTTGTGTGTAGCATGGGTGGGAGAAGATAGGGAGAGAGACCACAGTTGCCACCCAATTCTCAAAAGGGCCTCTGACTAGGGAGGCCTGGAGTTTATCCTTTTCCCAGAGCAGGCTACTCACTGTGGGTGTGAGGGCCACTCCAGCAAGCTCTGGGAAAAGAAGGGCTCTAGGAATGTGTCTCTGTTTTGGGGGAGGAGATAAGAGCCCTGTCCCTCCACCAAGCACCCYGTGGATGTGTCCTGACCCCTGGTGTGTCCTAGGCAGGTCTAATGCTGACCTCAGGCTCCCACCCCTGCAGGCCTGGTGAGTGTCCCCAAGTACCCCTTCCGGGAGCAGAAGGAGGACTTCACCTTTGTGTCCCTGCTCACACGATCCGAAGTCATCACAGCCCTGAGCAAGGTGCGGGCTGAGTGCAACAAGGTGACCGCCATGTCGCTGTTCCACTCCAACCTCTCCAAGTACAGCCGCCTGGAGGAGTTCGAGCAGATCCAGTCTCAGACCATCTCCCAGGTGCCTGGGKACCCGGGCATGGTGGGCGGGCACAGTCAGGCCCTGGGAGCCAACACAACAGAATCCCTGAGAAGCTCAGGCTTAGTCGGTTACTTGAGACAAGGCCATGGCCTCTTCCAAGGTCTTTTGGGGGCCTGCAGTGGGGCCAGGTGTGCAATTTGTCTTGAAAAGAAAAGGAGAGTCTGGCTCCCTTCCTAATCACTTTATGCCAGGCCTGGTTGTCATGGGGCAGGTCCCTTGTCTTGGAAAACCCCACTTCTGGTTCCACCTGAGGATCAGATGTGAGGGAGGCAGAAGGCAGGCTCTCTCCACTCCATTAAGGTTACTCTGCGTGTATGTAGGTATATATACCTACGTGTGTGYAAGATGTACTCCTCCCTTGTCTCTATCTGTCTTCATGGCTGGAGGGAAAGCCCTGATCTGTATCTTTCCCTCTCTCCCTCCTTCCCCATTGAGCAGCCCTGGGCCCTGGGGGGCATGTGAAGAGATGGGTTGGCAGGGTTTGTGTTTTAGTCACTTTGGCAGTAAGTTGGGGGTGGGAGAGATCCCTCAGATGAGTCCTGAGGCCACCTCAAAATCCAAGTGTGTAGAGTCCTGTAGCACGGCAGCTGTGGACGGTGGGTCCCTGGGGTGGGCTTTGTAATGACTTCCGTGACCACTCCAGGTGCAGATGTTCCTCAAGGACAGCTGGGTCAGCACGCTGAAGGTAGCCATGCGCAGCAGCCTACGTGACATGAGCAAGGGCTGGTACAACCTCTATGAGACCAACTGGGAGGTGTACCTCATATCGAAGCTGCGCAAGCTGATGGAGTTGATCAAGTACATGCTTCAGGACACGCTGCGCTTCCTGGTGCAAGACTCACTGACCAGCTTCTCACAGTTCATCAGCGATGCCTGCTGCAGTGTGCTTGACTGCACCGATGACATGGTCTGGGGGGAGGACCTCATAAACAGCCCCTACAGGTGGGGCCCTGCTGGGCAGAGGCAGCTGTTCCTTGCCAGGCCCTAGTGGCTTGGTCCATGCAGCCAGGGCCAAGATGCTAGCAGCATCCTGTGGATGGTGGGTCTCTGGGGTGGCTTCATGGTAGTGGGAAAAGGGTCCTGAGAAGGGCTGTGGCCCCTAGGCTAYCAGGCAATGCCCCACAAGCCCTGGATTGCATTTGGGTGACCCTCATCACTCCATCTATGAGTTACTCAGTTGAGAAGTGTTCTTTGAGTGCTTTCCATGAAACAGGCATGGTTCTATGGAAACCAGAGATCCAGTTTCTGTTCTCACTGGAAGACAAACAACAAAACCCTTAAATAGAAAATACAATGAGTGATTTTGTTAGGGGTTAGGATAGATAATTTGGGGYGGGCCTTTGCCAAGGGCTCCAGAGAGAAGATGGCATCTGAGCTGAGACCTGAGGTGTGAGAAGAAACAGGCTATGTTGGGGCTTACTAGRTGGAGGGACCAACCTGTGCAGAGGCCACCCAGGGATAGAGGACTTGGGACAGTGGAGGAAGGACAGGCTGGCAAGTGTGACTGGAGTGGGGAGGGGCAGAGAAGCCTGGTTCAGGATGAAGTGGGAGAGGTTGTAGAGACCATTCCAGATCATGAAGGGTTCCCTGGGGTCACAATCAGGGGCTGGATTTCATCCAAGTGAGACAGAAGCCGTCAGAGGGGCTCCGGCTGGGATCCAGACGTGGGGCTTTCAGTGGGTCGTGGACATCTGAAGCCAAGAATGTGGGCTTCCAGGGAGAGCTTAGGCCAATCTTCCCTGAGGACCTCAGGACAGGGAGATGACTCTTCCTCTCTGTGGTACCTGGGAATCTCTGGACRCGAGGTAGCTACAGAGGAACTTGACTGGCCAGGATCTTTCTCTCTGGTAACTTGGACATTTCTGGAAGGAAGGAGGAAGCCAGCCACATGCATGGAGAGTCATAGAACTGGCRGGAAGGGCAAGGAGTGCTCCTCAGACCTCTGTGCATAATCAGCCTGACCATTGCTTCTCAGGCCCCGGAAGAATCCCCTATTCATTGTGGACCTGGTGCTGGACAGCTCAGGGGTGCACTACAGCACAGCGCTGGAGCAGTTTGAGACATCTCTGCTCAACCTCTTTGACAAGGGAATCCTGGCCACCCACTCTGTGCCCCAGTTGGAAAAGGTACACAGTGCAGCTTGGGCAGATCCTGGGTACCTGCTTCCCTGGCTGTTAGTGGCTCTCCACGCTGCAGGGTGCTGCCACTAATATCAGAGCTGTTAAAGTTCTACAACAGGTCTCCCAACTGGCTGACAGTGTGCTTGGCCCTGAAGTTCTCAAATATCTTCTTTAATCCTCACCATAAACTGAATTGTGGGGCTGGGGATGTGGCTCAAGCGATAGCGCGCTGCATGCGTGCAGCCCGGGTTCCATCCTCAGCACCACATGCAACAAAGACGTGTATCCACCAAATACTAAAAAAATAAATATTAAAATTCTCTCTCTCTCTCTCTCTCCCTCTCTTTTTTAAAAAAAAAAACTGAATTGTGAGCTCTTCACATCTCCACTTTGTAAACCTGGAGAAGTTCAGTTTTTAGCCTCAGTCCCAGAGCTTCTAAGAGTGAGAACTGCAATTCCTGGACTTGCAGGACTAATACTGCCACAGCCCTGAGTCCTATTCCTTTGATCCCACCCAGCTTCTGGTCTCTCTCTCTCTCTCTCTCTCTCTCTCTCTCTCTCTCTCTCTCTCTCTCTCTCTCTTTCTTTTTGCACCTGAGGTGTGAGAACTAACAGGATATGTTGGGGCTACTTGGTGGAGGGACCAACCTTTGCAAAGGCATCCAGGGACAGAGGACTTGGGACAGTGGGCACTTAACCACTGAGCCACATCCCCAGTCCTTTTTAAAATTTAATTTAGAGACAGGGTCTTGTCAAGTTGCTTAGAGCCTCACTAAGTTGCTGAGGCTGGCTTTGAACTCATGAACTTCCTGCCTCAGCCTCCAGAGCCACTGGGACTGGCCTCTCTCTTCATCCTGAGAGTGGACAAGGGCCAACATCCACATAGGGGACTAGTGTACCCAGCTGCATGTAGCCCACTCCCTAGACCCCCAAAACCCTGCAACTCAAGACCCCTCTCATCTCCCCTGCCAGTCAATCAGCAACATGGTCGCCCCTTCTGCTCTTTTCCTTGGAACTGGGCTGAGTGAGGCCAGGCAGAAGAGGATATTGTCCCTCAGTGGGCCTCATGGTGGCTTCTGGCTTCGAATTGGTCTTCAGCCCCCTGTAGGACTTGCCACTCCATGCTTTGAGCATTGTCACCCACTCAGTTTTGAGATCACACCCTGCCCCTGCTTGCCTAGCTCCCTAGGAGCACAGCTGAATTTCCAGTCCCTCTGCCCACCCACCCCACAGCTCATCCAGTTCTGTCCCTTCCGGCCCCTTTTCTCCTAGATGGTGATGGAGGACATCTTTATCAGCGGCGACCCTCTGCTAGAGTCCGTGGGGCTTCATGAGCCACTGGTGGAGGAACTCAGGTCCACCATCACCAATGCTCTGCGCAAGGCCATGATCCCCCTGCAGGCCTACGCCAAGGAGTACAGAAAGTACCTGGAGCTGAACAACAACGACATCGGTGTCTTCCTCAAGTGCGTGCTTGCTTCTTCGTGTATGTGTTCAAGCCTGAGTGTGTCCGTGTGTATCCCCCACCCACCTTGCTCACTCTGCTCTGCCCCTCACCTGTGCACCCTGTCCTAAGGGCCTACCAGACCCAGTGCCCATCGGCAAACGAGGTGCGGGAGGTGGTGAAGACCCACCTGAAGGAGAAAGAGATCCTGGACAACTCGCTGCCCAGCAGCATCATCATTGGGCCCTTCTACATCAACGTAGACAATGTCAAGCAGAGCCTGTCCAAGAAGCGCAAAGCCCTGGCCACTTCCATGCTAGACATCCTGGCCAAGAACCTGCACAAGGAGGTGGACAGTGTAGGTGCCCACTGGCCCTGCCCCAGTGACCACAACTTCAATACCAGCATCCTTGCGTCGCTGGTATACTCCTGCTAGTGCTATGTCCCCAGGCAGGGTCAGGGGTATCTGCAGAGGCYTAGGCCAAGAGAAGGAAATGGAAGTCCCCCTGTCTTGATCTTGAGCTGTCCTGTGTAGGAGGTTGCTTTCTCCTTTCCTGGACTCACAGAGACCTGGGAAGCCCTGACTTAGCACATCCTGGAATCGATGGTTCTGCAGAGCTGAGGGTATGCCAATGCAGGCCTCAGAAGCCTTGAGTGTGTTGGTGGGACCAGAGAAATCTGGGAGAATAAAGCCTACCGAGAGATACCCTTGCCTCTCGAGAGACCTCAGCAACCCAGGGAGTGTCTTTCATAGAATGCACTGCAGAGTGATGGGGGTGGAACAGTTACCTGTTGGGAGCCACGAGGGACCTAGAAGGAGAAGCAGGCCCCAAAGAAGGTAAAGAGGGGTCACATGGCCCTCCCCGGCACCTTCATCCCACTGCTAGATCTGCGAGGAGTTCCGTGCTATTAGTCGCAAGATCTACGAGAAGCCCAACAGCATTGAGGAGCTGGCCGAGCTGCGAGAGTGGATGAAGGGCATCCCCGAGAAACAAGTGGGGCTGGAGGTAAGGTGGGTACATGGGACTGGGGACCGGTATTCAGGAGGAGCCCAGTAGGACTGGAAGTCCGGTGGGCACTTGGGGGACTCGAAGCTGGAGGTACTGGGCTTAATATTCAGGGACTGGGGACAGGGGACAGGCGCAGGGCTGGGAGATTGGGAGTTCAGAGGCTGAAGGTGAGGTAGACACCAGGAGGACATGTGGACTTCAGGAGGTTGTGGGGGCGTTGGCAGATACTAGGAGCTATACTGTGTGGGAGGTCATAAGGACTGAAGGCATGGGTCAGGGGCCTGGAAACTACAAATGAGGTGGTCATGGTTCTTGGAGCCCTGGCCCTGCTGCTGGTCTCTCCACCCTGTCCATCTCCTTCTACCCAGGCCTCTCCTCTCTGGAAGGGAACAGTCCCTCCCTAGTCCCCAGTCACTTCAGACAGCCCCGTCCCAATAGACCCTTTCCCTAGCCCAGTTCTTATCACCCCCGTTCATGTAGGAGCGGATTGTCAAAGTCATGAGTGACTACGAGGTTATGGACGAATTCTTTTACAACCTCAGCACAGAGGACTTCAATGACAAGTGAGTGGGAACATTGTCTCCCACACTCGCAGGGAATGGGGAAGGAGGCGCTACAGGGTTTCTCAAATGTCCCAGCTGCTACAGGTTGTGGAATCACATCAAAATGCCTTGCCAAGCTGGGCACAGTGGCCTGGAGTACCAGCCACTTGGGAGGCTGAGGGAGGAAGATCACAAGTTGAAGGCCAGTCTCCGCAGTTTAAGGAAACCTTGTCTCAAAATTAAAATTAAAAAGGGATGGGGACATAGCTCAGTGGTTAAATCCCCAGTCCCCCCCCCAAAAAAGAAAGAAAGAAAGAGAAAGAAAAGAGAAAAAAAAATAAATGCCTTTCCAAGATRAAAGAGCTCATGGCTCCACACAGGGGCCAGGACCAGGCAGGGCCAGGTAATCAATGGAGCAGGAAGAAATCATTTGGGGCACAATCCTCTTGGTGGAGGGGCTCACCTGCTTCTTCAGTCTAGTCTCTGTCCCTTCGACAATGTGATACACATAGTGACCTGGACCTAGACCCCTGCTTTGTGGTTGAGGAGCACTGAGAGAATCAAGGCCCCACCTGGTGGGCAGTCTCTGGGCCCCTAGAAACCCCTCCCCCAGCCCTGGCTCACAGACAAGTTCAAGAGCATCAGGGCCCTGCTCAGGAACTCCAAGACACCATCCTGACAGGTGCTTAAGAGGGGCCTCCCCTCAGGGTTGGCATCCTAGGCTATGGCAGGTGGAATTCTCAAGTTCCGTGGATGGCCTCCATTAGCTAAGCAGAGGGAATTGGTTGGATAGGAAGGAAGCTGGCCAGGTGGCCTTGGTTTGTCACCAATGTTGCTTTGCCTCATGTAAGGTGAGGCCCTACCATCCCTGGGGCTCCAGAGGGAACTTTAGCATCCCTCTTCTCATTTCTGCTTCCTCCTGRGCACATTGGGTATGCACCTCACTGCAAGCCGACTGCAGTTCCCAAAGGTTAGGGCAGAGGTGGCCTCCCTGTTGATGGAAGGTGGTATCTCTCCGCTCAGTTGGACTTCCCAGTTTCCCAGTCCCAGCTGACTCTAACTGCTACCTAGGTTCCCCCAATCCTGCTCTTACCCAGGCCCCGGGTTCCTGGAAGAGTATCCTTGTCTGGCCTCTCCACCCCATCATTTCAGCTGTGGCATTTCTCCCCATCCCAACTCCCATCCCGGCCAGGTGGGCTGCCAGCAACTGGCCCTCTAAGATCCTCGGGCAGTTAGAGATGGTGCGGCAGCAGCATATTGAGGAAGAAGAAAAGTTCCACAAAATCCAGGTCATGGATCAGAACAACTTCCAGGAGAAGCTGGAAGGGCTGCAGGTGGGGCTTGGTGGAGGGCTCTGTGCTAGGATCCCACCCCCTACACACACACACACATTGCACTGCAGGCCTGGCCTCATTTCTTGCATTTAAGACATGTTTTGTTAATGCATGATGGATGCGTGGATAAGTGAATGGATACACGGCTGAAAAAATGAACAGAAAGGCCAAAGAGAAGCCTGAGCAGCAAGCTTCAGAAGAATTCAGAGGAGTGGGCCCTAAATCTTCTCTTGTGTCCATGCTGCCCCAGTGGGCAGTGGGCACAAATGGTTAGGGCACTGAGTCTCCCCCTCCTTTCCCCGAGCATTGCCAGGTCACCATGAGGCAGTCAGCCTGCCTGTAATGGGCTACTAACCTGTCACTCCAAAGTCCCCTCAGAGCTGGGAGGAGTCAAAGTCCCAGGAACTCAGGTTCCTTGAGGTGGGAGTAGGTGGACACATGGGCATGGTGGTGCAGCAGGGGCATGTGACCCTTGCTTCTTGGCTTGCAGCTTGTGGTAGCTGGCTTCTCCATCCACGTGGAGATGGCAAGAGCACACGAAATTGCYAACGAGGTGCGGCGGGTCAAGAAGCAGCTGAAGGACTGCCAGCAGTTGGCAATGCTCTACAACAACCGCGAGCGCATCTTTGGCTTGCCCGTCACCAATGTAGGCCTCCCGCKGGCACTGTCCCCTCTTGATCCCCTGGGCTTCATGAAGCAGCTTGCAGCTATGGTCACAGCAGAATCCAGCTGCTGTGCCCAGGGCTCTGACATGTTGGGGCAGGACTGAGCATGCTGCAGGGGGGAGATAATCTGACCTTGACTTTCAGGAGGCTACTGGAAAGACGCAGGAGACCATAGCCTGGGAGGGACAGAAAGAAGGGAGGCCATGCCTGGGTCTCTGGCACAGGAACAGGGATAGCACTCAGGAACAAGGAGGGAGAGAGTAGCTGGCCCAAGAAGGATCAGGGTGGAGAGAGCCTGGGGAGCATCCCAACCCTGCCCCTGGTCCCTGCAGTACGACAAGCTTTCCAGGATGGTGAAGGACTTCCAGCCTTACCTGGACCTCTGGACCACAGCCTCCGACTGGCTGCGCTGGTCTGAAAGCTGGATGAATGACCCCCTGACAGCCATTGATGCTGAGCAGCTGGAGAAGAACGTCGTTGAGTCCTTCAAGACCATGCATAAGTGCGTAAAGCAGTTCAAAGACATCCAAGGTAGGTGGCCAAGCCAGCCTGTCCCCACCGTCCCCCTGCCGATGTTGGCTGCCTCTTATGCCTGCCTCCCTACCCAACAGCCTGCCAGGATGTGGCCTTAGATATTCGAGCCCGCATTGAGGAGTTCAAGCCATACATCCCGCTGATCCAGGGCTTGCGCAACCCTGGCATGCGGAACCGGCACTGGGATATACTGTCCAATGAGATCAACATCAACGTCAGGCCCAAGGCCAACCTGACCTTTTCCCGCTGCCTCGAGATGAACCTGCAGGACCACATCGAAAGTATCAGCAAGGTGGCTGAGGTGGCTGGCAAGGAGTATGCCATCGAGCAGGTAGAAAGCCACCAGCAGACCCACCCCACCAGATTGGCCCTGCCAAACCTTAGCACTTGGCCTCTGGCCTTTGCAATGACAGCCATTTGGGAGACTGATATAGTAATCGGCCCCATTCCTGGGGCCGTCATGCCCAGGGGGTGAGGTGCATTCTATTAAGTGAGTTAATCATGTATGTAAAGTGCTTGGCTATTATTCCTCAGTTACTCCTCTCAAGATTCCAGGAAAAAGTTGAGAGCCTTATCCTTATTTAGCAGATGAGTACAGGAGCTCAGTGGTAGAGTACTTGCCTAGGGTGCACAAGGCCCTAGGTCTGATCCCCAGCACCACTAACTAAATAAAGAATAGATGAGTACCTTAAGGCTGAGGGTGGTTCGGCAATTGGCCAAGGTGACACAGTCAGAACCAGGACCAGCACCCACACTGGTAACTTTGCTGCCTCCCAACACATGTGTGTAAGTGTGTCATATACATGTAGCACATGTAGGAGAGTGAGTCAGAAAAGGGCCCACTGAGGACTTGTGGACCAGGTAACCGAGTGTATCTTCCAGAGGGCCCTACGCAGAAGTCATACACTAGGTCTTTTCTTCCCTGACCAGTGCTGGTCAGAGAGCATGATGGCCAGCCCCTTCCTGGGACCCAGCCTTGATTCATCCCCCACCCCAGGCACTGGACAAGATGGAGAAGGAGTGGTCAACCATCCTGTTCAACGTGCTGCCCTACAAGGAGACAGACACCTACATTCTCAAGAGCCCAGATGAGGCCTCACAGCTGCTGGACGACCACATCGTCATGACCCAGAGCATGTCCTTCTCACCCTACAAGAAGCCCTTCGARCAACGCATCAACTCCTGGGAGAGCAAACTAAAGCTGACCCAGGTAGGCCCTCCTTCCCCTGTCTTTTCTCCCCCTCCCCACCCCCAGAGAACCCTGTCTCATAAGGGGATGGGGGCTTGAAGCAGTGGAGGGCCTTGCCCATGTTCTCTGAGCTCCTGGCTCTCTTCCATTCAGAAGAGAGTGACCAGGATGGGTGGGACTGTCCATCTATGACGTGTGGCCACTGAAAAAAAGCAATAGGGATGTGAAGAGGACAGGATTAGTCCAAAAAATATGGTTACTAACAGACCTTCAAAGGGTAAAACCATTGGAACAGTTGAAATTTGTGGGCTGGACACCATGAGGCCCCAAAGCTCTCATGACCCTTTCCCACGCTGCCCTCAACCATATCTCATTTGGATCTACCTTGGGGAGAGGGAGCCAGGGCATTGGGACTATTCTTGTCTCTGGCTTTCAAAATCAGAGGCAGAGACAGCCCACAGAGCCCTGAAAAACAAACCTGAAGGTATGTCTGACAGTCCCTTCTTGGGGCCTTGCTGGGAGGCCTCCAGTGAAGGTCAGAAACTGGATGAGAAGGGCTTATCTCTACGCCCCAGGACCACCTAGAGATKCCTGAGCTGATCAGCATTGCCCCTAGGTGTTCTTCCTTTGCTCATAATGTCCTGTTTGTTTTTGTTTTGGGTACTGGGGATTGAACCCAAGGTGTTTAACCACTGAGCCACATCCCCAGCCCTTTTTTATATTTTATTTTGAGATAGGGTCTTGCTGAGTTGCTCAGGGCCTTGCTAAATTGCTGAGGCTGGCTTTGAACTCAAGTTCCTCCTATCTCGGCCTCCCAAGTTGCTGGGATTACAGGCCTGCACTACTCAGCTCCACTGCAGTTTTATCCCCACTTTCCATTTTCTCCAAGGCTCAGCACAAGCATTTTGCCAACTCTCCCAACATGTACCTGCAAAGTAATCTCACTGAGTCCCTTGGTCAGTACCTCATAATAGAGGCTATCACCATGCTGGACCCTTGGTGATCCGGGGCAGAACTGGCTCCTTAGTGGACTGAGGGCTTCTCAAGGGCAGTAGCCATGCCCTCTTCCCCTACTCCTCCTGGTGACCACCTGGACCTGGCATGGCCCTGGCCAGAGCTGAATGTGGCACACAGTTGACGAGGAGGAGATAAATGAATGAATTTGCAATGATGAGAGAAGACGAGAGGTGCCTCCTAAATGGGGAGTTGGGAGGCAGAAGGGGGAAATATCTTGTTTTGAAGATGTCTCACCCTTGGACTGAGGTTTCAGAGACCATTTTAGGTATCTCAAGATCCCGAAAATGAACCTCAGAGAATGCTAGGGTCATGCACTCCAGAGAACTACCTCCAGGACCCTTTCCTGTCACCTTGAGGTTTGCTGGCTTGGGCATGGTCCCTCATAGGAAGAGCAGAAACCTTGGCTCTTCCAAGGGAAGAGGGCATGGACTTCCCATGGGTAATGGGATTTCTCTGGAGGGCAGGCATCTCTCCACCTGGTTTTCTCATGGAGTTCCATGCTCACAGCACCATCTAGAAATTTCCCTGTGGACACTGGCTCTGGTGCCCAGCACTCTGATGAGGCAAAATGACTTGGTCATGAGGAACAGAACCCAACTCAGACCCCAGGCCCTGGCAGTTCATATCCTCACCTTACCCTGTCCCACTTGCCTAGGAGGTACTGGAGGAATGGCTGAACTGTCAGCGGGCCTGGCTCTACTTGGAGCCCATCTTCAGCTCTGAGGACATCACCCGGCAGCTGCCTGTAGAGAGTAAGCGCTATCAGACCATGGAGCGGATCTGGAGGAAGATCATGAGGAATGTCTATGAGAACCGGGAGGCAAGTGTGGCAGAGCTGGCGAGCAGCTAAGACCCTCAAGGGGCCTGGTCACATTGTTGGGAGTCTCCTGGTCTCTTCCCTCCTAAAACAAGGACTGGAGGACACATCCAAGGCTTTGATTGTAGCCCATGTCCTCAGGTCTGGGTTCCCTAGTCCCAGAGATGCTCCTCAGAAGCACCAAAGTTGATGGTTTGGAGATTTGTCAACCACATTATCATTTTAGAGGCCCTGTCAAGTCCTGCAGCAAAGCAAACTACTTACCTTCGTTTAACCCTCATTTTTTCTTTATCATAGACTTTTTTCTGTGGAGTTGGCAGGGCTGATGGAGGCAGCCCCTGACTCAGGGACAATTTTCCTGCCCCTTCCTTCCTTCTGAAGGTCTCTAGGTGGTGTGGGACAACCTGCCTTGCAGCCTCCCAGTTGGAGCATGCTCACATTCACTTGTTCTCATGCCTCCCTAACCCCTGCAGGTAATCAATGTGTGCGCTGACCAGAGATTGCTGGACAGCCTTAGGGACTGCAACAAGCTGCTGGACATGGTGCAGAAGGGCCTCAGCGAGTACCTGGAAACCAAGCGGAGTGCCTTCCCCAGGTAGGCATCATGGCCCTTGTCCACTGTCAGTGTCAGCCCTTGAGGATGAACATCAAGGGCCCTTCCAGGCAGGGGGCAAGAATGTTAAGTGGTGCCAAGGCTGCCAGGGCCCAGAGAGCCTGCCTGACCCATTCTTTCATCCCTGTTCCCGTGGCAGATTCTACTTCCTATCCGATGACGAACTACTGGAGATCTTGTCCCAGACAAAGGACCCCACAGCCGTGCAACCCCACCTGCGCAAGTGCTTCGAGAACATTGCCCGGGTATGTAGCTGGGCTTGGGGCTCAGGGCCAGGACCCCTGGGGCACACTCCAGGAAGAACATCCCTTGTGTCAAGCTCTCTTAGTGGGAATAAGGTGGAAATTGAGAGTCTGGTCTTCAGAGACACACCTTTAGGGCTAGAGGGAAGAAGGTCAGCTACAGAACTGTCCCATCTTCTCAGGGTTGGGGCATCTTGGCTCCCAATTCATCTAAGGGCTCTCTGTCCCCCAGCACACTGAGGTGTTGGCTAGATCAAGACACCCATGAGGTCTGGGACTATAGCCTAATAGTAGAACATTTGCCTTGCACATGGGAGGCACTGGGTTCCATCCTCAGCACCACATAAAATAAATAAAATAGAGGTATTGTCCACCTACAACTAAAAAAAAAAAAAGTTGTCTAGTTTAATGGTTGTAAAGTTGCATCCAGAGAGAGAGAGAGAGAGAGAGAGAGAGAGAGAGAGAGAGAGAGCATGAGTCCAAAAGGCTCACAACCCTCCTCATCTCCTCTCTGTTCTGCTGCCTGAGCACAACAGAGACACACAGGACAGACTGAGCCTCCTTCCCCAAGGGTCTGCATCAGGCCAGGGATGGGGCACAGCTGGGGACCTGCAGTCAGAGAAGTCCCAGCCAAGAGAGACATTCAGGCTCCCTTCCAAAGCGGGAGGGCACCAGTGGGAGGGGTCAGCTTCTAGTTTAACCCTGTTCTTGCCCCCCACCCCACTACCACCATGGCTGCAGCTGCTGTTCCAGGAGGACCTGGAGATCACACACATGTACTCTGCGGAGGGTGAAGAGGTGAAGCTGACCTTCTCCATCTACCCGACCAGCAACGTGGAGGACTGGTTGCGGGAGGTGGAGCAGAGCATGAAGGCCAGCGTGCGCAACTTCATTGAGAGAGCCATCCTGGCCTATCCCACAGTGAGCACGCCCTGCCATGGAGCCTTCCTGCCACCTCCATGTTGCTCCCTTCCCAGGCCCTCTCTGTGCTCCCACCTGCTTCCTCCTTAGGCCACAGCCCTAATGCCAGTTGTTCTCATCTTTATGGGATCTCTGGGGACTCAGGCGGGAATCAGAAACCTTCCTTTCTACACACACTCCCAGAAAGTGAAATTCCTCCTAATAATAATCATAATCACACTCACCCCAAGCCCTGGGCTGGGATAACACCTGCAGACTTCTCTAGGCCTTCCCATCAGCCACTGGGCTGCAGGGCAAGGCACCCCACAGAGGAGGTTCAGAGATGTTTTCTATTCTATTGTGATTTGCAAGAGCAGAGCCAGAATTTGAATCTGGGACTGTGTTCCCTGATCCGGGGCTCCCACCTGTCTGCTCCAAGGTCTCATCTGCTTAGGAAAATGATTCTGCCTACCCAGAGCTTAATGGCATCTCTCTTTAAGGGACAGGTGCAATTTATCCCTTTTTTTTTTTTTTCTGGTACCAGGGATTAAGCCCAGGGGCACTTAACCACTGAGCCATATCTGCAGCCCATTTTATATTTTACTTAGAGACAGGGTCTCACTGAATTGCTTAGGACCTCTCTAAGCTGCTGAGGCTGGCTTTGAACTTGAGATCTTTTTGCCTCAGCCTCCAAAGCTACTTGGATTATCTGCGTGCACCATTGTGTCCACAATTGACCCTTTGAGCCCAGAGGTTTTAAAGGCCAAAGCACAAACAACATTTAAAGGAAGAAGAGGGGAAGGGTCAGAGCTGGAAAGTGCCTAGATCAACCTGCCCCTGTTGTCTTTTAGATGCCCAGGACCCAGTGGGTTCTGAATTGGCCTGGCCAGGTGACCATTGCTGGCTGCCAGACCTACTGGACCATGGAGGTGGCACAGGCTCTGGAGGTCAACAACCTCAGCACCGATCTGTTCCCCAAGCTCTCCGAGCAGGTGGGAATGAAGAGGATCACCACTCTTTGCACCCTTGATGCCCCCAGGAGAGCCCAGACCTCCAGGAACTTTTTCCTACATTGATCTGGAAGAGGCCTAGGGTTGGGTTCAAAAAGCAGGTCAGGAACCCCTGAAATGTGTCTCACAACAGCAACYAGCAGAAGGGTCTGGGGGCCAGAGGAGGCTCTGAGGCCAGGCAGGTGCCCCTCTTCCAATGGTCAGTGAGGGAAGCACATGCTCATGTCCCTCCTGCACTGTCCCTTAGGCCTTTCTGGCTCCATACCACACTCCAGCCTCCAGCCCCTCAGCAGGCTCCACCAGTCCCTGCAGGTTCCAGATGCCATGCATAAGTCTCCATTTTTATTTACTTTCCTCCCCCTGCCTGGTCCCTGCACCCCTGCTCTCCTAGACTGTCAGTCCTTGGAGAGAGGAACTCTGTGTGGTAGAACCCACCCTCTGTACCAGGGAGAAGTCTCCCTTCAGATAGCAGACAGCTGACAGTGTCCCCATTCCTGCAGCTCAGTGACCTGGTAGCCCTGGTACGAGGGAAACTGTCCCGTATGCAGCGGGCGGTGCTGTCAGCACTGATCGTCATCGAGGTCCATGCCAAGGACGTGGTGAAAAAGCTGATCGAGGAGCACGTGGTCAGTGTGAATGATTTTGAGTGGATCTCACAGCTCAGGTGAGGGCCAGAGTGGCTGTCAGGATGGGGCCCAGAGAGGGATGAACAGTCACTTAATAAGAGGCTGGTCCTGGCCCTTGAGGCTCTGGGACAAGCTGGGCAGGGGGGCTTTAAAACCCTCATTCCTCAAAAGAACCCCCCTCTGCTCAACTCCATGCCTGCCAGTGGCCTATGGTCCCATGACCAGGTACCCATCTCCCTGTACTGCCAGGTACTACTGGACCAATAATGATCTGTACATCCGGGCTGTGAATGCTGAGTTCATCTATGGCTACGAGTACCTAGGCAACAGTGGGAGGCTGGTGATCACACCCCTCACTGACAGGTGCGGGTCCCCTCCCCAGTTGGGTTGGTTTTTTTGTTTTGTTTTGTTTTGTTTTTGGTATTAGAGAGTGAATCCAGGGGTTCTTAACCACTGAGCCATGTCCCCAGCCCTTTTTTTGTATTCTATTTAGAGACAGGGTCTCACTGAGTTATTTAGGGCCCACTAAGTTGCTGAGGCTGGCTTTGAATCCGCGATCCTCCTGCCTCAGCCTCCTGAGCCGCTGGGATTACAGGCGTGTACCACCATGCCAGGCCCCAGTTGGGACTGGAGTAAGGGAAGTGAATTGGCCACACGTCAGCCAGCCCTGTGGGTCCCTGAGCAAAGCTCTCCAGAGCTATGAAGTGGAACAGGGAGAACACTGAGCAGGTAGTCATAGGCTCCAATGCTGACCCCAACAGCCAGGCTGGGCACATCTGGGACCCAAGAGGAGAGAGGGCCCAAAAGAAAGAGCTGTGGAAATCCCCAAGAAGGGGAAGTGCCCAGGACATAGGTGGCCTTCCTCTGTCCTACAGGTGCTATCTGACTCTGACTGGGGCCCTGCACCTCAAGTTTGGTGGTGCTCCAGCTGGTCCAGCTGGCACAGGGAAGACAGAGACCACCAAAGATCTGGGCAAGGCCTTGGCCATACAGACAGTTGTGTTCAACTGCTCTGACCAGCTCGACTTCATGGCCATGGGCAAGTTCTTCAAGGGCCTGGCCAGGTGAGGCTGGGGTGTGAGGGTGGCACCAGGGAGGGCATAAAGACTGAGCCCTCTTCCTGGGGAGGGCCAGGTAAGGAGCATCACATGACAGCGGGGGCCAGGAGGGCTCTGAATGCACCTCCTCCACTCTCACAGTGCTGGGGCCTGGGCCTGCTTTGACGAGTTCAATCGGATCGACATTGAGGTGCTATCTGTGGTGGCACAGCAGATCACCACCATCCAGAAGGCACAGCAACAGCGGGTGAGCCACCCCCTCACTACTGCCATCAGCTCTGTCACCAGGGGTTCCCATGCCACAGGTGGACAGCCAGACCATCAGGCCTGCCTAGAGCCAGTCTCTCATCTCACAGGGGCATGGCACTGCCCACGAGCCACCACCTTTGCAGAACTGTGTCTTGAGTGGCTTTGTAGCTCATCAGGAAGCCCCACATTCTTATCCTGGTCTGGTGGCAGATCCCAGGCCAAGCTGGGACAGATAAAAGGGTCCCTGCCTGTGTCCTGATGCTAATGCAAAGCCCTGGATATTGGTTCTCTCTCTAGCCTTGTTGTAAGTCCCCAGGGATCTTGTCCTAGAGATGAGAGCTGAGAGGCTGGTGGTTACTCACTGCAAGGGAGAGCCCTGGCGCCTAGTCAGGGCTGAGCTTGTCTAAGTCTGGGAAGATCAGTGTCAGGAACTGGAAGTGGAGAGAGTAGGAAGCAAAAGATGTGTGGGACCTCAAAAGGACCAGAGCCGGGGCTGGGGTTGTGGCTCAGTGAGTGAGCACTTGTCTAGCACATGTGAGGCCCTGGGTTCAATCCTCAGTGCCACATAAAGATAAATAAATAAAAATAAAGGTATTGTATCTATCTACAACTACAAAAAATATTTTTAAAAAGGACCAGAGCCAGGGCCTAGGAGGCCATGGGTGCTCACTGGGACCTGAGGTCTTAAGCCAGATCCTGAAAGAAAGTCCATCCATGACCCGGGATCCAGTACTAGCTGACACACTGCCATCAGGACAGGGGAATGAGTAGAAGAAAGGAGGGCACATCCAGAGGAGGGGAAAGGCTGGGCAACTCCTGCCCCAAGTGAGTTCACCCCCTGACCCCTACCCAACACAGGTGGAACGCTTCGTATTTGAGGGGGTCGAGATCCCACTTGTACCATCCTGTGCAGTGTTCATCACCATGAATCCAGGATACGCTGGCCGCACTGAGCTGCCTGACAATCTGAAGGCAAGTTCAGGCCCAGGGTGCTCCGGGTGGACATCAACTTTGTCTGTGCCATGGGCTCCCCGGGTGGAAAGCCTAGGCTCCAAGATAATAAATCATTTCTTTAAGGACACACAGCTGCCTGGATAAAAGGAGCCGTGGTTCTCTATGATAGATCTCCTGCCCAAGGGTCCTAAGGCCCAGCCATAGAGGGATGCCCCACACTTGTCCTCGGGGCATGGGAGAAGTCAGGGATGCTCAGGCATGTGAAGGCCATCTGATAGGAGCCATTAGGCTAGGCCTGCAGAAGAAATGGGAAGCCAAGAGAGGCCACCAGTTTCAGACAAACACAGAGGACCTGTTGTTTCTAATGGCCCAAACTGTCCAGCCACAGAGCAAATGGAAGGCTCAGTCATGGCAGGCATGATGCAGAAAGGAATCCCAGCATTAGCCAGGGAGGAAGGTCAGGTGAAGCCRCCTTCTGAGGACCAGATAGTCCAGAGAGTGGGTGGTACCCTGTGGCTGGTTGAAGTCTGAGACCCACATACCATGTGCCCAGGCACTCTTTCGGCCTGTCGCCATGATGGTCCCGGATTATGCCATGATTGCTGAGATCTCCCTCTACTCCTTTGGATTCAATGAGGCTAATGTGCTCGCTAAGAAGATCACAACCACCTTCAAGCTGTCCTCCGAGCAGCTCAGCTCCCAGGTGAGGCCTCAGCCAGTTTCCAAAGGCCCTCAGACTGCTCCCCCCACCCCAGCCTCCAGAGATGCTCCAAGTTCACTTTTTTGTGGAGCACCAGCCAAGGGCCAGGCCCTGTGCTATCTGCTTCACAGATGTTACTTTAGACTCTTCCAAGCAACCCTGTGAGATAGGAGTTACATTCCTGTTTCTCAGGTGAGTATGCTGAGGTCCCGAGCAGCTAAGAGCCTGGCCAGGTTCATGCAGTGCACAGTGGAACAGCAGCAGAAGTCAGGATCAGATGCCACCCAGCACTCCGACACAGTCTGCCTTCTAATCATCCACTTTGAACAGTGCCCCTCCCCACCCCCTGTTGAAGCAAACTATCCTACATGGTTCTGGAAATGCCCTCCCAAGTGGTGATGACTCAGAGTCAAGCCCAGTCTCTATGTGCAGCTCCGAGACCAAGACTTCTGGGATGGGTGCTGGTCTCTGGGTCAAGGTAGCTCTCATGGGCTGGCACCATGGGGCAAAATGAATCACTTAACTATTTCTAACACATCTGCTATATAATGTGGGAGAGACAGGACCATTGGGAAAAGCCACAGTGTTGCAGCCGAAAGGTTAAGTCAGGAAAGATATTGCAAAGAACGTTAGAAGGAAACTCAAAAGCCATCGAGGCCAACCTATTTGTTTGCACAGATGAGTCCAAAAAAAAAAATGTTTCCTGTTTCACTCACTTTTTCGAAACAACTTGAGTATATTCCTGCCCTTGGCACTGTGCTGGGACAACAAGTATTTAGCATTGACCAAAGCAGTGCAGAGCAGGGGATGCAGAATAGGCAGCCAGATAAAGTGAGATGGCTATTGGGATGGTGAAATGGGGGGGGGGGTCAGAAGAGCCCAAAGGAGAGGCACCCAGCCCAGATTGGGGCATGCAGGTGAGTGGTCTCCAAAGAGCTGCAGGGGAACTGATATTTTGAGGATGAGCTGGGTGAGGTGGCATGGCCAGGTAACAAGTGGGCAGCAGAGTGGCCCACCCATGCCTCCTCCTGTATGGTGACTACAGGATCACTATGACTTTGGGATGAGAGCTGTGAAGACCGTGATCTCAGCTGCTGGGAACCTCAAGCGAGAAAATCCCGATATGAATGAGGTGAGCTCCAGCCATCAGGGCTCCTGGGGCAAGAAATCAGGGCAGCTGGAGAGGCGCCTGACCCTGAAGCTGGTGCCCACACCTGCTTCAGGAGCTGATCTGCCTCCGGGCCATTCGGGACGTGAACGTGCCCAAGTTCCTACAGGAGGACCTCAAACTCTTCTCGGGGATTGTATCTGACCTGTTCCCCACTATCAGGGAAGAGGAGACTGATTACGGCATCCTGGACAAGGCCATCCGCAAGGCCTGTGAGAAGAGCAACCTCAAGGATGTGGAGGGTGAGCCACCRGCCCCTGCCTCCTGCAGTCCCATGCATGTCTGATCGGTGAGCTCATGCTGGCTCAGGCCGGCTCCAGCCATCTTGGAGCCCAGAAGAGAGACAGAGGCAAGGCAGACCAAACCTCAGGGTCCCTTATACCTGGCCAAGTGTGCATGGGCAGGGTCTCTCAGTTTGGCATTTGGGGGCAGGGAAGATGTTTCTGACCCTTTTTCTACTGGAGCCCACTAGGTGATAGGAAGCAAGTACTGTTCCCTTCCTGGGACCTCATGATTCAGGCCCGCCTGTCCATGTGATCCCTTCTTGGGCTTTGCTCCATGGGATGCCAGCTGCTTGCTGACAGATTTTCCCTTCTCTGCTTGGATGCTGGTAGTGGGGGAGGGTCTCAGCCTAGCCACTGCGTGTCCATCCTGACACAGCTGCTCTCTCCTCTCCTCCCAGTCTATTCCAGCTGGTCTTTTTGGGAGATAGGGGTGCTTCTCCAGGGAGGTGTGCCTGACCACCCTGGCCACACAGACCCCTCCTGTAGGACCTGAGCAATCGGTGAGCTCATGCTCAGCCCTTTAAGGCCTCTCTCCGCGTTCTCCACTGCTCTTCAGTTCCATGTGTGGCTCTCATGCCTCTCTACCTCTAGCCCCCTCCTGTACCCAGGTCCCAGCAGCCTTGTTGAATAAAGCCTTGGACTTTTTTTACCCTCCTAGCCTTAKATCATCTTTGCCATCTCTGGTTAATTGGATCCTCTCCCTTTGGCAGGGACCACCAGGCATGCAGTGCCAGAGCCACCACTACCCTTGTGTCAAAACAATACACTCCTTTCCTATCCACATGGGCCTGACCTTCTGCCTGCATCTGTCCTGATAGCTCCTCACTGTCCCTAGGATTCTGTCGCCAAGATTTTGCCTCATATTGTCCAGTACCTTAAGAGGTCTCAGCTTTGTGTAGAAGTTGATTGTGGGGCCCGTGACAGCCAACACTGAGCCTGCCTGGGACAACAGACCACCCAAAGGATGTTAGGCAATGATCGTCCCAATGGGAATACTGGTTGGCATCTAGAAGTTTCTTGAGCAATGCCAGGCTCTGTGCTTAGGGTTTTAGCTGCTTCCTAGGCTGCTATGAGGTAGGTACTGCCTCCATCCTCAATTTCCAGATGAGGAAACTGAGGCTCAGGGAATGAAGTAATTCGCCCCAGATCACACAAGCTAAGGGCAGAGCCATGGCCCAAGCCTATGCTCTGACCCCTGGGTTCCTCTGCCATGTCCCCCAGGCTTCCTGACCAAGTGTATCCAGCTCTATGAGACCACGGTGGTGCGGCACGGCCTCATGCTTGTTGGGCCCACAGGCTCTGGCAAAAGTAACGTAAGTGGAGCCCAGCAGGGCAGCCCAGGGCCTGGTCAGAAGGCCTGAGGGGGTGTTGCAGCTTGGATAGGAGCGTCGGCCTCCTTTGTACCCCCCTGACCTCGAGACTTCTCCTCCCACTTCCTGTGGTCCTCCGTCCCCTCCAGCCCTGCTGTCTGAGGCAACAAGAGGTTCACTCTCAGGTGGCCATCTCCCCAGTGTTACAGAGTCCTAGCAGCCGCCATGACATCGCTGAAGGGGCAACCGTCCATCAGTGGCGGCGTGTACGAGGCCGTCAATTACTATGTGCTCAACCCCAAGTCTATCACCATGGGCCAGCTGTATGGGGAGTTTGACCTGCTCACCCACGAGTGGTAAGTGCCCCCACCCCCGTTCCCTCTGGTGACTGCCGTACTCCCAGGCCTCTGGAGGCCGTGCGTGGGCCCACTTAGACCAGTGGCAGGTTGGGAGTCCAGGCTCTGCAGCCCGAAGCCTGGAATTCTGTCCACCATTCCACTTCTTCCCTATATGAATTGCCATTCCTCACCTGCGTCCCTGCATCAACACAATAAGGACAATGATGCCATTATTATGATAAGGTGCAAATGACCTTAACACACAGAAAGTGCCTGGAATCATGTCTGACACACAGTAAATGCTCAGTGAATGGCCCTTATCCTTGCCCCAAGAGAGTCTAGTGGTCCTTCTCTGGGCCTCTGCTCCAGGTTAGGACATGCATTTTAGGAGAAGTGCATTGAGCTGGGAGAAGAGCAACTGGATGGAGACTCCTTGAAGATCAGCACCTGAGGGTCTTTCATATCTGGAGCTATTCTGTCTCTCCAAAGAATYTCCCTTTTAGCCTGGCACAGTGGCACATGTCTGTAATGCCAGCACTGGGGAGCCTGAGGCAGGAGGATCAAAGTCAGCCTCAGCAACTTAGCAAGGCCCTAAGCAACTCAGCAAGACCCTGTCTCAAAATAAAATATAAAACAGGCTGGGGATGTGGCTTAGTGGTTAAGTACCCATGGATTCACTCCTTAGTAAAAAAAAAAAAAAAAATCCTCCCTTCTCTTGGTGAGGATGTCTGCATGGCTCCAGTGTTCTACAACCTAGTGGGGGTTGAGTATCAAGAAGGAAGAGTCAACTGTTTTTCCCAATGTGAGTCTGTCCTCCTTTCCCCATTTCCGGTGAAGGGTTTCACCCATACCTACTCGGGGGAGGCACTCTGCAGGACAGAAAAAAATACCACATTAAAGAAACAATTATTCAATACTATCTTTGGAAGCACGATAAGGAAGACTCCTCAGGATACACCATAAGTGTAGGGACAACTGCAACAGGGTCTGCCATGGAGCTCAAAACTCTGAATGCAATAGGGACAAGTGGGAATTTATAGCCAAGAGGACACATTGAGAGGAAGAGGGGTTCTGGCTAAGCCAACCTAACAGGATTCTGGGTGAAGACAGGTCAGGTGATCAGATCTTACCTGGGAGAGGTGAAAGAGGAGGGTCCTGATTAGATATCAAGGTCCATCAAGTATCCAGGGTGACCAGATATTCAGGGCGACAGGTTCTGGCTGAACTGACATTGAAGCCTTCTTTGCTAAAACTGGATTTTACGAGGAACTGCACAGATGGGCCCCGGAGAAGCCTCAGGAGCCTGACTAAAATTTGGCCAAGCCGAGAATCTTTGTMACCCCTTGTACCCTATTTCCTGGCCTGCAGAGCCTCTGAAGTGTGAGCCTCCTTGGGTTCTGTGGCAGGATCTGGCCCTTCTTCAGCTCTTTCCACTTTCCAGAACTGTGTGTGCCTCCGTCTCTGTCTTTGCCTCCTCCCCTGTTCCCTGGTTCCTGTCAGGATGCCACTGTTTATCTTCTTTTAATGTGACTGCTGTGGAGATTCAGCAGGGAGGGGATAGAGCAAATCCTCATGACACCGTGTTGCACCCCAAGGTCCCATTTCTCCTAGTATAATTTTTAAATAAATGAAGGTACTGAAGGGAGTGGGGAAGCACATTGGGGCCATTCGGGCAGCCAGGTTTCCCAGGGAGCCAGTCACACCCACCACCCTGCCTTCCGGGCACTTACAACCCTCTCCTTCCTGGTGACTGCAGGACAGATGGGATTTTCTCCTCTCTCATTCGGGTGGGGGCCATTGCCTCGGACACCAACAAGAAGTGGTACATGTTCGATGGGCCAGTGGATGCTGTCTGGATCGAGAACATGAACACGGTGCTGGATGATAACAAGAAGCTGTGCCTCAGCTCCGGGGAGATCATCAAGCTCACAGAGGTGCACCTGCTCACTCCTCCACAGCTGGGTGGGCCTGGAGGCTGAACCACACAGGTCAGGCCTTATCCCCTCCATCCCTGCCTCTCAGGGCCACAGCTGTGTCTCAGACCATCACTGTGACCACCCCCCGCCCAGGAGCCTTCCAGCCAGTGGCGCTCAGGCTCAGCTCCCAGCCCTGCACATCATCACCTTGCTGTGTCTTATACAGCTAGCTGCTCTGTGCTACCGTTTCAGTAGACCCACTTCCTGTGATTCCCCAAGCCCAGGGCCAGGAGGACTGTCCTGCCATTCCTTGGCTGATGTGGCCCGGTGCCTCCTTGATCCACTTTCAGCCATATGGGCCCAGTCTGGGTTTAGTGTCCAGCCCATCCTAAAAACATACCCAGGGTCTAGTGGGCACTTCCCAAGAAAGATAGCTATGCTCTGGGCATAGAAGCATTTCAGTTTGCATGCTGATCTGAGCTCTTGAGTCATTCTGAGAACACCTGGCAGTCCGTGTGGACCTGTGTCCATGGCAGGGGATTCTGGAGCAGAGCACACAGTTCTTGTCAGACTTCCTAGGCCTTCAGGGACCTCAGGCTGGCCAGAGAATCCCAGGAATCTCCCAATTTTGGCTTCTCCTCAAGGATCCCAGGAAGGCCACATTCTTGATCCCCACCACAGCCCTGTCCTACCCCATGGCCTGCCCACAGATCCTTCTAGTAGGATGGGTAGCCCCCTCCCCCTGCCATGACCCTGCAGCCTCCTCTGGCTCTGGGGTCCAGCAGCTGGCACACTCACAAGGATTATCTTGGCACTAGGCAATGACCATGATGTTCGAGGTGCAGGACCTGGCAGTGGCCTCACCAGCTACCGTGTCCCGCTGTGGTATGGTGTACCTGGAGCCCAGCATCCTGGGACTCATGCCCTTCGTTGAGTGCTGGCTAAGCAAGCTCCCTGCTGTGCTGAAGCCCCACGAGGAGCATTTCAAAAGTCTATTTGTCAGATTCCTGGAGGTTAGTGAGGGTGTGGGTATACCGAGCTAAGTGGGGTGGCAGGGCATTGTGGCCACCAGCCATGAGAGCTGGGTGCTCACTCCCTCCAGGAGTCCATCGACTTTGTTCGTTCCTCGGTGAAGGAGGTGATTGCCTCAACCAATAGCAACCTGACCATGAGCCTCCTCAAGTTGCTCGATTGCTTCTTCAAGCCCTTTTTACCTAGAGAGGTACAATCCTGAACAGCAGTGTGGAAAGCATGATCCTTCTTGCCCCCTGCTCTTCCTGCCCAGGGTTTCTTGAGGGCCTTGAATTCCAAGTCCAGTTTCCTGGAAGAGAAACTAGATTGTCTCAGCATAGGTCATGGGACCTCCCCCTCACCCCCAACCCTCATCCAATGGGCTGTAGAGAGACAAAACTATGACACATCCCTACCGGACTTCCTCAAGCTGCCCGGTACTATTCCTGTCTTAGCCTAACACTGTTCCTTCCATTCCCAGGGCCTCAAAAAAATTCCTCCTGAGAAACTGAGTCGCATCCAAGAACTGATCGAACCCTGGTTCATTTTCTCCCTGGTCTGGACTGTGGGTGCCACTGGAGACAGCAATAGCCGTGACAAGTTTAGCCAATGGCTAAAGACCAAGATGTCCGTAGAGAATGTGAGCCATGGCAAGCCCCCAGGCCCCGCCCCCAGGGGCCAGCAGCTGGCAAACCTCCTGAGCCTCAAACCTGCTTTCTTCCTGGTCCTCGGCAGCTGACTCTGCTCTTCCCTGAGGAGGGGCTGGTGTACGACTACAGGCTGGAGGACGCTGGGATCAGCAGCACAGAGGATGATTACGAGGAAGACGAGGACAGCAAGCAGGTGCCGCAGGCCTGCCCAGGAGCCGGGGTGGGGAGGGCCGCACTGGGAAGTGACCATTCTCCCTGAGGAATAATAGCCACAGAGAGGAAGCCACAGTGACAGGCACCAGGTCTCAGACTGGGGGTTATTTTCATCATCTCATGGGTCCTCAGAGCCCCACTGGGTGGGTCAATTATGTGCCCACTTTCCAGACCAGGACATTGACTCAGAACAGTCACACCTGGGCAGAGCTGGGCTTGAACCTGGAGCTGGGAGACCTCAGTGGGTCTCCCTTCCCAGCCGTGTGCATTTCCTCTGTTTCAATTCGGAGCCCAAGGACTGGCAGCCCCAGTTCTACTTAAAAGTCCCATTTTGGAGTTACAGCTCAGCAGTAGAGCGCTTGCCTAGCA